AATTTATTCCGCAGCGCTCTGATGTTAAATTTGAAATTAAAAAATCTGCTATGATGAACCTTACTGATAGGAACTGTCATCTGATTATTGATGACCATGTACTAGCTGAGTGCAGACATTTATTATACTAACAATAATGTGTTCTTAAAAGTGTTAATTAATTGTATATCTATATTTATTTTAGTTGTATAGTTTATTCTTTTTTTTACAACATTTATCAAGTATTTGTACTTCAATATTTATTGTTTAACTAATCATTAATAAATTATGAATTATTAGTTTGTTTACTATTATGTTAAAAACAATTTTTCTATGTATATAAAACCTAACCATCTTAATTGTATTTATTAATTATTTAAAGACTGAAGCTGAAGATGCTATATTGAATAAGAAGCGATCATCAAAGGCTGAAGTTAAATACAAGAAGAGGCAACGTTTTGCCAAAGTAGAACCTGCAATTGATGAGCAGTTCCAAACCTCTCGTCTATTAGGTATGTATTATTAATTAGAAATTTATATGTTAACAAGAAAATGTTATTTAAGCGCCATGATGATTTTATTTTTATAATGCTGATATTGAAATTTTTGATATTGATCGTTTTGATTAATATCTATCAATAATATGAACATTTTTGTCATAGTTACACTGAGCGTTTTTTTCTTTTTTTAACAGTTGCACTTTTAAATACTGTATATTTATGTTATGATGACAGATTGTAAGTTTAAGATAGGATATCATTTCCTATCTTATGATGTTTTCATAGTTACCCTGAGCTAAATATAATGTACTATACTTCCATTCATAATCAAAGATTCTGTAAAACTAATATTCAACTTATTAATTTAAATATTTAGCAATATCATGATGTTTAAGAAATCTCGTTAATATGATTATTATATGAAATGTGAATCATATTTTTCTGAATATTGCTGTTGTATTTTTTAGTTAATTTTAGTAAATATGTTTTACTACCTTAAATATTATATATTTTATTAAAATTAAAATGTTAAAATTTAATTTTTATTTATATTTAGCGTGCTTGGGAAGTAGACCTGGTCAATGCGGACGTGCTGATGGTTACATCTTAGAAGGCAAAGAATTGGAATTTTACCATAGGAAGATCAAGGCCAAGAAAGGCAAATAAATAATTGTTATTTTGTAATGATGTTCATGTTCTTCTGACATTATTAAATAACAAATGTTTTTTGACAAACTAGTTTTTACATGATTTATTTATTTTTTTTACAAATCAGTACCACAACATAATACTGTTATTAACCTAAATTTTATTATAAAACATCTGTAATTCTGTTCATATCAAATCCAAATTGGTGATGCTAGTGGGTCGGTTATAACTCCAGCTATAAGACTAACTTTGGTGTGTTGGTCCATCACAAAATAAACAAACGGTTTTGACACTACAAATTCGTGTTCTACGTATTTGCGTTGGATTTCATAAACTGTAAAATAATAAAAATTCAAGTACGTGATATTAACAAAAATACATGATTTAATTTCATACATAATCATTTAATTTTTGTATTAATCATATTCGTTCATGCCAAAATGTCTGTCCCAATCAGTAATTTGACTTGAAAAATGGTTTTAAAGTTAAGAATTTTATCATTAAAATTACAAAATAATTAATTCCTCTCATATATTTAAAACAACATTGACATTAAATGCCTCTTAGTGTAATTATTATCGTTCTTGTTATAAAAATAATGACAAAACTCTTAACTATATATTTAGAAATGGTGATCTGTGTATCAGATGAAGATTCACTTGTAATGTGTTCGTATATTTCATTCAGTCTTAACATTTTTCATTTCTTATCATAGTTTCGCTAACTTCAATCGCCTGCTAACCTCCCCTACACTATCAAGTCTAGTTAAGACGTTTAAAAATGTAATCACGTTGTTATTACATATAAATTATAATGGAAAGCATGTTTTGGTGATAATCATCGTATTTTATCTAAACTTTGCGCTGTGCAAAATATATGAATTTATATACTTCTGAAATAACAATTGACACTGGGATTTTTTTATTGGTATACAACTATGTTAAGGGAAGTCCACTATGAGACATCGAAAGGTTGTGTTGCTAAGATTTTATTATAATGATTTAACTGCACAATTATTTTACTGTGTAGACAGTGGACGCCTATCATCTACTCGTAAAACCGTACAATGTCGATACATTTCGAGAGAGTTGGATCCCTATTCTAATCGCACAGCCCCGTGTTAACGATGCCACCGACGTACAAAGGTCTCGGATCTCGAGATAATTGATATTTTTCATGGTGACTTAGCGTTGACCTCAGACGATGAAAAAAAAACTATTTTATTACCTTCCGCGTGTATCATACATGTTTTACTATAGCAATGCCCAATGGGTAATTCTAAATTGTTAAATTCTCGCATCTATCGTGCATAATTGGTTATAAGGACGTTTTTTTGCTTGTCGAATTGTTTAATTTTATACGTTGTGTATGTTTTTAAATAGGAATAAACGATTGTTGTCAGTCTTAATCTTTGGATTCGAATTCTGGCAAATTAAACGCCCGCTGCAATAATATCCAAACTAAAAAAAAAATTACCATCATGTGGTTCAGCGTGTTTATACTATATTGTTATATACATTCAATAAAGCAACTTTAACTATATCTGTTGCTGTATATTATTCGATATCAGAAAAAAAATTAATTAATGAAGTATACTGACATACTGTCCAAAACTATACGACATAATATTATGTTAAAATTCTTAAGTTTTCGCTTGTTCTAATCATTCAAGTTTTTTAACAGGTAAATTATTTCATAGTAAAACATTTATTAGATAGGTACCTAAGTATATATTTTAATTTTGAACGCATAAAATATAATACAAGATTTCTCGTGAATCTTTTTTACTAGAAATAAAAAAAAAAGTTAACGTAAAAAATTAATTTATCTATTTTTTTATGAATGTTAAAATTTAGATTTCAATGTCTGAACAATCATAAATCAAAAGTATATGAAAACCTTTTGTCTTCCAAAAATAAAAAATGGTACAGTTGATAAGTGATGAACAGAATATATTAGTCCTGAACAGCTGAATAAATTTACTAAATATATTTTGTAAAACATTTACCCTACAGATGGGTATATACCTACACAGAGAATTATAGTAATATAAAATGGTAAAGAGTATTGTGATACTCATTTTATTTTGAGTTTTATACAGCATGTTGTCCCGCATAACAAGTCCTTAAATTAAGGAGTAAGTTATTAGTTTATTATTTAATACTTAAGAAACACAGAATAATGTAATATTAAACGACAGACAAATAACTTTTGAAATAAAGGTTAATTCTTTAAATAAAAAAATAAATACAAAATAGATTAGGTATTCATTAGTTTTCCAAAAACATTTACTGACACTTAACAACAGCGATCCTGCATTGTATCAATCAATCAAAAGCGTGGCATGCAATTTTAAACCTTAAGCAAAGTATTTAGGTAATAATCCGCCCACAATCCCTCTACAACATAGTATAAAATTTAAAACTATGCTAATTTAGAATTTTTGTTATAGGGCATCAGTCATCAACAATTTAATATAAAAAAAAAATATTATGAAAATTATATATTCATCCACACAAATTTTAATTTTTAAATTTAAGATAAATTTCTAGGGCTAAGCAATTGAATTAGGTAAAAGTCATTCACCATGCTCCTGCAATAAATACACTGATATTTAGAGATCTCAGATCGGTGCTACTTTTTCCGTTTCCTTGACTTAAACTTCGAGTAAACGATATTTTTCTTATCTTTGAAGATTGAAAACATATTTGTGCAACAAGATTGTTGAAGAGCGATTAAACGGAATGATGCTATTACACATATGAGACGTAAAAGTGACCAAGAAATATAGGTCATTTAAAATGGCAAAACTACCGAAACGTATAGATATTTTTTATACTGTAATTATCAATTATGAATGTGCCTACCTAAACGAGTGCTTAAAATAACGAGTACCTATAATACAGTATGAATGAACATTTTATATATTTTCACCCCAACCCCGTTAAAATATTTTTTCCTGCGTTCACTATTAATATGTTACATAACTTACATATAAACATATTTTTAACATATTTAATTTATCCTAACAATTACTAATATTATCTATCTATATTTTTCATGTATCTTTGGCCTTTATCTTCTTAAGCAAAGACGCCACATCTGTATGACTTTTCATTATCTTCGTGCGTACAACATAGCAAATTTGTGTTCAGTATAACACATCATGATTTATGATTATAACGTGTTGTTAGCTATAATATCAAAAATAATTTACTTCCTAAAAATATTAAAGTTTAAAACATTGCCAATATCATAGCATTGATGTCTTTCAATATTTCAATGTTTAAGCTAAATGTAACCAGTAATATTTTACATACTCATATACCTGCTTAAAAACTAAAATACCGGAAAACATCAATGTTATGACATTAATAATATCTTATGACTTATACAAATTGAATTTAGTTTTTTACTATACTAAACTAAAAATTAAAAATTCATAGTACATAATCGAGATGAGAAAACAACAAATTAGGAGAAAATATAAATTTTAAAGCTAAGCCAGTTTTTGACCATGAATTTAACTGTTATATTATATTATTTTCTATATATATATATATATATGGTATAATTTTTAAAATATTTTGATTTTTTTTTTAATGTTTTTATAGTTTATTTTTATGATTGAAATTTCAAATTATGTTTTTTATAAATGTTAATAAAAATGTTTAAATGGGTAAAAATACTTGAAAAATGAATACAATATTTTTATACATTTTGCAACTTATATTAAAAAAATAATTTCTTCCAAAAAGTCAAATTAATTTATAATGATTGTTTGAATTTAAAATATTTTACGATAACAGATAGGTTATATAATATTATTCATAAGTCACAAATCATACCTACTGAACACTAAAAATTTTAAAAAAATTTTAAGACATTGTATTTTATATTATTATAAATTTTACTATATGCAAAGATATTTTTGATTTATTTTAAGATATCATCTTTAACCTACCATAATATTAAAAGTAAAATAAAGAGTTTAATAGCTATGTCAAAAAATATTTTATGAAATATTCTATCTAAGTGATAAACTGAAACTCTGACAGACCATCATTCGCTCGGAATCGTTTTTAATTAACAATGACATATCATTGAATTTAAATTTAATACACCGATAACACTGACCCACTTGACACCTAATGTACTGCAGAGCGGTGTCCACTTTCAACTTTTATTTTATTAATAATTTTAAGGTTATCGTAAGGTATAAAATACCTGATACTTAAAAAAATTAATAAAAGAATACAAGGAATCAAAAAATTTAGTAAATACTAGTATTCTAAAAACAATTTTTCATCATCTGAAAAAACCACGAAAGTATGGAGTTGTCCTTGTTTTTATAAGTGTTTCAATTATAATTTTTAAGTATTTATAAACTTCACCCTAGTCGCCTAAGGTATTTATATTTCGGATTACCTACTTAACTAATTTTATTCAAAGCATAAATAATATATTATTATTAGATAAACAATCCCTTACACCTTAGATAAACATAATATGCAATATAAACTATGCAAATATAATTTCTAATTACATATTTATGTGATTAAATAATTAGCTAGTCAAAATAGATATACTTAATAAGTTATGAAGTTCGGCCATAAATTTAACGTATATATATAGATATATTCTATGTCTTCATAGTATACGTATATATAAAAGTGTTTTATAGTGACATACAACTACTGGGTTAATACCTTCAAGTCATCACAACTTGCATCATTATCTAAATAGATTATCTGATATGTATTAGGTACACTACATAATTTAATATGTATATTTATAAATATATAAAGGACAAAGTCTTTAAATACATGAAACTGCACAAATGATGCAATATGTTTAATGTACCTACATATAACGTTTGGACTCTGTTTTTTTTTTTTTTTTTTGTAAAAAAAATCGATCCGATCGATTGCTTGCTCAAAACTAATTGCATGTCGCATATGAGGACAATGTATGTGCTTACTTCGTTTCGGTTTACCGATCAACTGAAAAGAAAACGTTGTATATACAATATACATAAACACGGCGTTCAATAGCTAGGACCTACAAATATAATAATAATTGTATTGTATTATGTCCACAGGCTATGACATAAACTACTGTACTTATACGCGCCTACATAGTATAGTATAGTAGATCTATTTATACTTTCATCTGAATGCCGTTTAATAATCGACTTATACTAGATACAAAAATATCATATTTTTATTTGCATATTATGTAATTATTTAGATCAACACCAAAAATGTGTTCTTTGATTTAATACTAGAACATAAGAGAAGTAAAGATCTGATAAATTAGTGCAGCGTTTCTTAAAGTGGGCGATATCGCCCCTTTGGGGGCGTTGGTTCTATCCAAGGGGGCAATGGAAGTTACAAGCTTAATTTGGGGGCATTTCATTACAAAAGGGGGGCCGTGACAGTTGGAATTGTTTTCAACAATATTATGTATATTACAAAATTTATGGTACGTGTGTATTTTGTATTTTTCGAATAATCATTCGTCATCTATCGTAATCTCAATAACAGAACAATGTATGTAATCTAAGTTATCTGAATTCTTTTTGTATTTAGTATACTCGTGAATGCCGACCTTATTCGTTGTCGTTTATTGCCTTTATAATTGTCGGGGGCATCTGTCGGATTTTTTTTTTTTTGAAGTAGGCGATAAAGAAAAAAGTTTGGAAACCACTGATTTAGTGGTACCTATTTAAGTTAAAACTATTAAAGTTTATAATCTTTATGGCTTTGCTAATCGAAAAAAAACTGATATAACCACATAGAATTCTAAAAAATTGTACCTACCTATTATAGGTAAATAATATAATTAGGAAGAGCTAGAAAACGTAAAACTTTATCTAAACGATTAAAAAGTCATAATGAAATATATATAAATGATTTTCTGCGGTATTTACTGACGAAAGACATTAAAAATGTCCTAAAAATCTTACGATGCAATGTAAATCAATTACATAAAGCTGTAGGAAATAAATCTGTAGTTTATTATAGATATTTATAGCCTATGAGTAACAAACCATTTAGTTCACAATAACATGGAGAATAGTATAGTTTAATGTATTATACAAATTCTATAGTGCTATACTTAAATGCAATAGACCGATATTTGATAGTTTAGTATAAATGTATAATATATACGTCGTGACAGTCGAAGGACAGTAGCGATTAGCCGCGGTGGAGAGTTTTTTTAGTGATTTTCGACCACTGTGAACATTAGCGTCCGCAAATCAAATTTAAAATAGGTATAGCGAATAAATACGATTTTTCATGGTCACTGTTTACATTCTTACGAGAATTACGGGTAAATAAATATAATAAATAAGTTTTACTTATTATAACATGATAGACACACTACACCCAAAATTATATAATGTCTCCATTTGTAAATGAAAATTCTCATTAAACGCATAAATAGGTAATTGATGTACCTATTGGTGTACAACCAAGTAGATGACTATATATAGTACATATACAACAATTACCTGTTCGGTTGCATGTGAAAATAAACTCTTCTAAATATATTTAATATAATTACAATAATTATAAAACACCACACCTCGTCCCTGAACACTTACCCGGTGGGGTGTTGTATTTTTTTACCGTCACGGACACCACTTGCTGAACCGAACTAACAAACAACCGAGCGTCCGGTGACATAAAGGAAAGGTCTGCCCTGTATCTATAGAACACGTCATGGATGCCAATCTGTAAAAGAAAAACGTTGCGATTATTATTTATTGTAGTTGCAGTACGTTATTATAATTGGCAGGTGCAATCCAAGTTAATATGCAACGAGTGTACCGCCAAAGCTGCGACTAGGATTTAATAGTCATGGTAATTATGTTAAAAATCAAAGTTAAAAATAAACCGTAGAGTTAAATAAAGGACGTGAGTAATACATCGTCTTCTCTTAAATCTTCAACAATAATTATTCCAAAAATTTTGGACATACGTAATTTTTCTAAAAGGAAGTTACAACAGATCAGAAGTTATAAGTGAATATAAAATTGGTATATAAGATTAGAGTTAAAAATTCGATTGATTTAATATGCAGATTATTATTTACAGGGTTTGTGGGGGAAAAAACCCAGGGGGACCAATATCTTCATATAATTTTAAGCGTTCCAAAAATAATTGTATGTATAATGATTAATGTCTAATGCATTATAGTAATATATGTAATGTATAAACAGTGATTTGTGTAACATACTCATCCCACTTTGAACCCTGAATAATATTCAAATTCGTAATTTATTTCACAAAAAATGTAAATTACAAATAATACTTTTCTAAGAATAACTTTAATATTTTACATAAATTTAATATCTTGAAAGAAATTATTTTTTCTGATAATATTAAGTTTTAAGTAGTGGTTGTCTTTTAAGGAGACTAAAGAAATCAACTTCAGACAAAAATTCAAATTTACTCATGCCATTTTGCCACTTTACCTATTAAATATAATATATTGTATATGAATTATTCAACTCAATTGTACATAATATCATTATGTTATTGGCTAATTGAATATATATTAATCACAGTAGAGTCATTTACAATAACTAATAAAATCAATTATTCTTACACATATGTTAGATAGTCCATAATTTGTATTAAATACAATTGATAAAATGTTAAGTGAAAACTGATAAAAAAGTAAATAAAAATCAAAATTTAATCTCAATAGAATTTTGAATTATATTGACTAATATTTGTTTACAATTGAAGCGTTTCAGCGTACCTTATACGTTATACGAATAATTTGTTAAAGGGGACACTTTTTAACCACCATTAGGGTAGGGGACTGAGTCCCCTAGCGACCCCCCCCCACTTCATCATCTGATTATACATGGTTAAACGGATTTAAGGATTGTAATACATAAAAATTTAATTTATATATTACCTATTTAGATTGCCTGTAATAAGTGTAATACAATAATCAATGTTAAACTGATATAGTTCGTGGATCGCTGTCAATAGTATATTTGTTCGGGCCCGCAAAAAAACTTTGATAACTTTGAAATATAAATAACAACACAATGTGTGGACAATTTTCAGTATTTTCAAAAGCATTTTTGGATTTTTAAATTTACCTCCGTCTTTCTCGTCAACTTTAAACGTCTAAATATCATTTCTTAATTTTTAGAAGTCCACTACTATGGTATAAGTACCTATTTATTTAACATGTAATACATAAGTACAACATAGTTATACTATACGTGCTGTATTATGATGAGTTCATATGATTTATTTTATACACGATGGACGTGTAGTAATAAATAACAAATAATATTATGATAATAGAATAATAACGATGATTAAACTGTAGTGTTCATGATGGGTCTTTGACGCATTATTGTGGCCTTGAACCTGACGCCGATTAAGGAACTATAGTTTATAAGGAAGACGTATACGCTTTCAACACTAAATTGCACGGTCTGCTTGTCCGAGTAATGAATGTATCAAAATTTATTGTACCTGTACACATTCCTTTTATGTATGTACAAATGTACCTATATAATATATGTAAAATATACGTATTAAGCGAGAAGTTCTATTTTTATTTTATTTTTTTGAACAATCTCAATCTTGACGGTCAATCACCTGTTGTAAAGCTGAAGTTAAATCCACTTTGGCCGTATATCTGAATGTGGGCACAGTCACGTGAATGGCCGTCGGTTTGAGAGAATTGTGTATGTTGCGCAAAGACATGGACGGCAACAGCAATAACAGCTCAGATAGACCATTTGGATGGTTCGGCATAAGTATCATCAACGTGTACTTAGGATCCTGTTCATATATATTATACAACAAACAAATAAAAATAAGTCAAACAATTGGTATCTATACAGAAACTTATTATTTCCCTCCGGAAGAACATTTTATAAATGATGTATTTCTTTTTTACTAGTTAGACCTATCAAAAAAAAATAAAATGATGTTGTAAATATATTTATTTATGGTCATAAATTAAATCTAAAAACTTTTTTAAGAACCCTGTTTTCAAATAATTGTTAAATATATATATAGAAAAGATTAATATAAGTACTATTATCAAAAAATATATTAAAAAGATAAGTACGCTTCTTTAAATCCTAAAATTTTCACTCTTATACTGAAAAAAAAAATAATATTAAATTATACATTAATGACATAGTTTAAAGTAAAACATAGTGACGTAAATTTAAAATAGGCACTAAGCTACTAAGTATGAAAAAGTTAAAATCGTATGAGTTATATTTACTTACCTATACATTACAATTAAATGATTAGAAAACATGTAAAGATGGGTATATTTTAATGTTGTTTACGAATAATTTTGTATAAAAAAAGCATGTAAATATGTATTAATAAACCCACCTACCACTTAGGAATTTCTGTAAACGCTACTATATTTTTATACTTCTAATGATGACAATTATTACCTACCTATATCTTATGTTATATTGTGTGAACAATAATCGTGATAAGAAATTAAAAAATAAATTTGAATAGACAAAAATATATTAATTCCATGTATAATTACAAATGCCTTAACTTTTACATTTCGTAAATTACGCATTCCCCCCAACAATTTATTTAGTCAATGCAGAATGTAGAACAATAACATACTATTGTATTAATAGTTAAATGTAAATTCGGCCCCGACAATAATATAGTTAATAAAAACTAAAAAGTTTAAGTTAGATTTAATTTATAAAAGAAAATCCATAAAAATTCTAAATATATTGTTATTTCTCAATAATATTAATCGACACTCATAGTATGAAATTTAATTAATTTAGTAACTTTGACCTATCATGCAGATAATAATATTAATCAAAAGTTCGATACTTAATAATTTAAATTAATAGTTATTATTATTGTATACATACATCTAAAGGTATCTCAATAACTTGTGACTTTAGCTCGTAAATAAATCCAAAAGGCAATACTGCTGTATACGTAAAAAATGGAATACGTTGATACCCAGAATTGAATAAATTAATGGACTCAAATGGATTTGATGATCTGTCCATCCAGCCTGATGTAGGTCCATAAGTCTTGTAACCATTAAACCATTGGTTTCGGTTTGTATTGTATCCTTGATCTAAAAAGGTTAATTAATACAATATTTTTCTTAATACACTATTCTCAGATAATTATTAATCGTATCCTATTAGAATTACACTGATTCAAATGTCTTCTTCTACGCTCTTTTGATCCTCTAAGTGTAATTGAAACGCCCGAATTTGATGGGTATTCCGTCAAAATCCTATCAGGTTTGATAATGGTTCTTTTTCCTGTATGATTACAATTATTTTGTATATCTTCTTTTCGTACCACGAACTCTACGTTAAAAGTAGGCAAATTACTATTAGATTCCATAGACCTCGCACTCTTTTTTTCCAAAGCAGCTATTTGATAATGTTGATTGGACTCTGCTTCTCTAATGATTTCATTTTCAGTCCCTTTGCTTGAATTCGCCATAGTCGATTGAATATCTGTTGTGGATATTAAATCATCACTAACTGTTGTTACTTGATTATTATTTAATTTGAGATTTGTAAATGGCATTGTTTGATCGGTTGATTTTTTTAAAACAGTATTCGTTATAATTTCCGTAGTGGTGCTGTCGTCGTTAGATATAGGATTTGTCGACGAAATAATTTGTGATGTACTTCCGACGTCCATGCTTTTAGTCGTTTCATCTGTATCCATTTTTAATTCATGGTTTGTGGTCATTAAAGCTTCCACAGTGTTTCCAAGAAAAGGGTATTTATTTTCCATTGCAGTATACAGACCAATAAGTTCGTTATCAACAGTAGTTTTGAATGGGATTTCTGTTGATCCAAATGTCGTAATATCGGGGTTACTCTTAGAATGCGTAACATAAGAGTTACTCGGTGAAACAATTTCATCGTTGACACTTGTATGAGTTGTAAACACATCTGCAATAGTTGTGTAGGACGGACCATCAGTTTTACTTTCATGCTGCGACCACGTAGTTGTAAAAATCTCTGTAGGATTAGTTTGCGATTTACTATTAATTGTTGTGTCAATAATTTTATTGATTGATGAATTAAATTCGATACTTGTTAAATCTACGTTCGTTTGAGTTACTGTAGCTGCTACTGTCATAGGATCGTCGGAGGTAATGGGTGTAGTGCTTAAATTAATTTTATCAGTCGTTAACGACCCATTTGGTTTTGTACTGGTCACTTTAATTTCATTAGATGATTTAGATTCTTGTTCGTTGATAAAAACTGTTGTAGTTGCTTGATTAGTTGAAAATTCTAATGGCATTGTATGAGGTTGTGTATCAATATCAACGATCATCGTGTCCGTCTGAGAATTCATCGGTAAATTGGTGTTTGTATCGATATTAGATATTGTAAAACTAGCATCACCAATATAAGTTACTTTAGCTGGAAGTTCAGTTGCCGCGATTAAAGTATCATTGGCTGATTCATTTGTAATATTAGCTGAAACTTGAATTGTTTGACTAGTTGGAGTCATTTCCGTCACTACAGTACCATGTGTAGTAATAGACATCGATTGTAGTGGTTGCATCGTTGTCGTAGAACTTTCTGGGCAAGAATCGAAAAGAAAACTATTTGGATCATCAAAACCGTACAGTCGAAGTACTCGTTTAAATTGTGGCCGAAGACATACTTCTTCTCTACTCATAGTTAGGCCATTCAAAAAACCATCACTTTTAAAATATGTCTAAAACATCAAAATATTATCAATAAGTTTATATTATTATTTATTATTAATAATAACCATTAAACTATTTACTTTAAGATAGCGATTTAAATCCCGAACTCCGATTCTAACAGCAAGAATTTCCCAAGGTAAATTAAGAGATTGTTTGATTTGTAATGCAGAATATCCACTTGATCCTTCATAAAGTAGAACCGATACTGCCATTAAACCAAAAGGAGAAAATGCGACATTTCCAATCGCACCACCAGCAGCTATTACCTAAAATTCAGTGTGTTTTAAAGTACTGAAATACGACAGTAGCCAATAGATACATTCTGAAACTTCACTATGCGTAGCGGCACGGTTACCATAAATCGATTCTATAATCAATTCGATTATTAATAATCAGATATTACACCTTACATAAAATATTAAACTATACCTATTTAATTGATCTAGTTTAAAAGTTCTAAATGGTGGGACTAATGGAAGTTTCTTCATTCGCACCATTTAAAAAGTCAAAGATATAATATAAAAATAAAACGTAAAATATTATATGTATTAAAATAATTAACAGTATCATTTAATATAATACTTTATTTATCTGTATAATAATAATAAAAATAATTTTATGATCACGAATCAATAAAACAATTTTGTATAAATTATGTTTCTTTAATTTAGTTGTAACTTGTAGGTACTACTCTAGAATTTAATAATGTCTACAAAATTAATCGCTCAAATATAATATTTTTAACTCAGCTTTTTTTTTTAATTTACCAAGTAATTTTTAAGATTATTGTAAACATAAATTAGTAATTTGGAAGTTCGTTGAAAAAAACTTGAATCAAAAATTTGATTTGGATGGCTAACATTACGGACATAATGCCATGCATAGTTAAACTATATTATTGTTACATTGTGAAATGTACTTAAATATTATTAAAAATGAGTTTGACCTTGATTAGCTTGATTTACACCTTAAATGTGAATTTTTTTTTAATTGACATTGTTTAGATTCTTCATTAATAGTAAATAATTTTTGTCTTTATATTTATAAGAAAGGATGATTTTTTTATATTATTATTAGTTTCGGCTCGGCCAGCGAACCGTCACAGTTTTCAATACATAAGAGTTAAATCGCTGCATACTCGCAAAACACATATTCCAAGGTCGTTCGTTAAATCTGCCATTGTATCCAATGGTCGAGGACTTAAAGGTCTCTTCTGATATAATGAATATTGGTTGTATTCTTCTTGTAAATTTAAACCATTTATACCTGTAAATTAAATTTAAAATAAGTATTTATTAGAAAAAATTATGATATTTGTTTCCATAACTCTATTTATTTTTTTATAGTTAATACAGAAATCAGAAGACTTATATATATACCGTGGATTAAGAAGTAATTTAGTATTTACAAATTTTATTTATACCATGATTTGTTGTTAGTAACTTGTATATAAATATAATATTAATATTATATTTTATACATATCAATTACACACATCAATACAATATATTATGCAGCTTGTCATATTTTTACGTTCAATATATTACAACATAAAAATGAAATACTTTATTTAATGTGGCGTATAGGGCGAGATATTATATATATATATGATGAAATATATTTACAATGTAATGTACTAAAATTTTATGTAAGTATAGTTTAACATTAATTATTATAAAAGTGTTTGAAGGTACATTATTTATAATGCCAAATATTTAGTATTTAAGTATAGTATATTGAATTTATATACAATATTATTTAATAAATAGATACTACTATATAAAATATATTGAATTCAGTAGGCATTTGGGTAAAGTCCAGGGCCGACTTGGTAAACAAAAACAATTCATCAATTATTTAGGGTTTAGGTTGTTTGAAAGCAATGATTTTCTGTTTTTGTCTAAAAACAAAAGGATTATAGGCGTGTTCAATTTCTAATGTAGAGATTTATATAACAAAGCTATAAGAATTTTGAAAACAGATTTGAATTTTTTATCGAGTCTATCTGAGATTGATTTTCCCATATTTTTGATTTTTTGATTTTAACTTTTCTACAATTTGAAATATATGAATTTTTTAATTACTCTTATTTAATATCACATTTTTAGGGTTTTAAGGGATAATATCAAGCAGAGCCACTTCCAGGTCAACACTTAAAATTTCAAACATTATTCTAAAATTAAAAAAAGTAAATAATTAATAAATTATAACCTTTTATATCCCCCACATAAGAACTTTTCGTTCTTGGAGTATAATTTAAATAGTTTGATAAAATATGTATTTTTTCTATTATTTTATACATTTAATTTTTTAGTATTATTTAGTTAATAACAATTAAATTTAAATGTAACAAAAATGTATACCGCGATAAAAAAAAAGTATATTAATTGTTTCAATCTACTGTAATAATTATAAATATAATGAATAATGACTAAAAAAATTATAATATATTATAACATTTATAGCCTATAAATAACTTACGACTTTTTATTAAACTATAAAATCATGAATTATATGCTATAAAAATAAAATAAACAATATCTAATAAAATATAAAACTAAAAAAAGTTAGCAAAAAATGTCATTGTATGTATAAATTGTATATTTATATAAATATATGTTAAAACTTAAGTTTCAAGTACCTACTCACAAATAATATTTTTAAATTAGAACAAAAAATTTAAATCATTATTTTTTATTTAAATATTTTATTTTAATCAAATTTTAATTTAAAATGTCTATAAAAAAATGTGTTTATATATTTTTTAGATTTTTTTACTACAGTATGAACTATTTTTGAGAAACCTTATTGAGCTTACTGTATTCAATCCTTATAGCTAAAACATTTTATACGTTTTTAACTACAAAATTGCTTGCAAATTTTCGTGATTTTTGCAAGATTCTAGGCTTTTGTAAAAAAAATATTTTATACTTTTTGAATTTAAGTATGTAACTACACTAACTACTAACTAGTAATACTTGGTGTATATTACTAAACTAATAAATATCTAATATTATTTACACGTTTAAATAAAAAAAATTCTAATGTATACATTAAAAATAAAAAAAATAATAAAAAAAATATTAAACATTTAAGGGCCAAAATTTAAAACATCAGTAGAAAAAATCCTAAACTTGATTGAAGTATATGAAATAGACAATAGTACATAAATTAAGAATTCTGTAAGAATATAACTTAAAAAATATATTAACTTAATTAAACAACAATAATATTGATTTTTATAACTTACAGTAATTCTGGATCAGTAATAATGGAGTAATCCATATTATCTTCATTGCAAAAATACCGCAAATATAGCAGTAAACAATATTAAATAATCAAACAATTCTCCGCTATAAATAAGTTGAGAGTAGTGGATTTCATATAAAACCGATATTTTGTTAAATTTACGGAATTGAAACACAACATTAAACTGCAGACAACTAATAACTACAATGGTTTAGTACACTGCATATAATATATTGATGCAGTAACGAACTGTGTGCTACTAAATAGTAAATTCAAAATATCAATCTAAATTGCGCTTAAACGTAGACCTGACATTGTAGAACAGTGCTGGTAACGTATTGGACTGATCGCACTGTTAAGTTATCACTGTTATCAGCCTACGATAACAGTTAATCTAATTTAAAGACATTTTATGATTAAGGATGTAAATATTTGAATATTATTTGTTATTTTCATTAGGTATCTTTCTTTGTTTAGTGTTGACTACGTTCTCTGATACATTAATCATGATACCGTTTTATGAATATTAAAGTCGTTGTCTTAAAATCTGTTTGCTCTCATGACAAGAAGATATTTTTCTCTCAATTCGTTTATGAGCACAAACATTTAGTATTATTTGCCTGTTGGATTTCGGATAGATGAGTCTGTATGAAATGATTGGTAAAAAATGGGCTTTACCAATATAGTTAAACAATCAGACTGCGAACGGTTGCTGATAGACATTCAAATGAGAAGAAAAATAGAACATCGTATTACCCTTAGAAAACTGGTCATGTTCTTTGCATTGTTGACTTTATTTGGTATCATATATTTTGGTTATTTTTGTTCAGACAACCGTTGTTCATTATCCTATAATCCTAAACCGGCCATTTATTCAGAATGGACAGTAATGAACCTTCTATCGACCAATATAACTGGTAAGAATGTTTGTTATAGATAATTTCCCAGCATTTATTCCTTCAAAATACTGATTTTATTTTAGACTTTAAAAGTGCTAAAGACACAGGTACAGGAGTGAGTTACAATGATATGCAAAGTGAAAACCAATTACGTTTTGACATGAATGCACATGATGTCATGGTGTTTTTGCATATACAGAAAACTGGTGGTACATCGTTTGGGCGTCATCTTGTTCAAGATTTAGACTTACAGCGTCCTTGTACATGTCAAAGAAAAAGAAAGTTATGTTATTGTTTCAGACCAAGTCGAAATGAAAATTGGCTCTTTAGTCGATATTCTACAGGATGGAAATGTGGACTCCATGCAGATTTTACTGAATTAACTGGTTGTGTTGATTCTGAACTTGACAAAAATGAAGGCAAATCTATAAAAAGAAGGTAATTAAAATAGTAATACTTACTGATTAAATAAAATTGGTCTAATTAATTACCTATTTAGATATTTCTATCTAACTTTATTGAGAGATCCAGTTAGCCGTTATCTTTCTGAATACAAACATGTGCAAAGAGGAGCAACTTGGAGAATGTCCAGACATTGGTGTGGGGGTCATCCAGCATCACTTGAAGAATTGCCAAAATGTTATAATGGTACATTTTGGACAGATGTAACATTAAATTCGTTTGCAGATTGTCCTTATAATTTAGCTGCCAATCGGTAATCAAAATGTTTAATATTTAATACCCAAAACTTAAATAATAAAAATAAATTAATTATTTTTAATCAATAGTCATTTTTAAAAAGTGATTTAAAAACATACATTTTAATTCTTCTAAAAAAAAAAAGTTATCACTAAAAATAGATGAATGGAAATTAATAAATTACTTTTTATAATAATTTTTAGACAAACAAGAATGTTGGCAGATCTATCTCTGATTGGTTGTTATAATTCTTCATATATGAATCAAGAGGAACGAAACAGGGTCATGCTAGCAAGTGCTAAAAGAAATTTATTGTCAATTGCGTTTTTTGGACTTACTGAATTTCAAAAGGTACAGAATATAAAAAAATAGTTTAGATTATTAGTTTTTATAATAAAATTATTATTTTCAGTTAAATCAATACATATTTGAAGAAACATTTAATTTAAGATTTGCAGTAACATTTACACAACATAATACAACTTTATCTGCCGTTTATAAATCTTTATTAAATGCTGAAGAGTTAGAAAAAGTGAAAAAAATAAATGCATTAGATATTGAATTGTACAATTTTGCAAAACATTATTTATTTAGGTACTGTATTATTTAATACTAATCATACTTATACAATAATAATTATTTTTTTCATAACAGACGATTTGAAAAATTACGAGCAAAAAACCCAAATTTTAAAGAACGGTGGGCACATTTAGGCCAACTGCCAAGTCAAACTGCCTTTGACTGGGAAAAAGAAGTAGAGACTGAAGCAGCTGACAACGAGGTAAATTATACGTAGCATTAACTTTTTTTGTTAAACAAAACCCAACAAAGAAAAGTAACAGATCTCTTGTTTATTTGAAAAAATGTATATTATATAAAAATATGTATGCTTTAATCTTTTCCCGAGCTTGTTCCTGCCATGCCAAAATACTAAAATTAAATTAAATGTGTTAAGATTTATATAATTGAATACAATTAAATAATAATGTTATTATATAATGATTTATAGTTTATATAATATAATATAGTTATTGAATATTATGTACTAAAAGAACAATGTTCTTATAAATATTATACTCATATCAAAAGAAAAGGAAAATAATATGTAAAGCTTGATTATAAATTTATATTTGTTCACAGTAATTGAACCATTCCAATATTTTTTTATTTTTATTATTTTAACAATTAATATAAATGTAATAGATAATAAAATTAACCATACTGCAGTATTTTAAATTAAATTTCCAAATTGGATTAACTTCTATCACTAAAATATACATATCAAATAAGAACAAAATGTCATTGAATCATAAGATTCATTATAACCAAAGTTATCATTTGAATTGCATATGTATTCTTCATTATCAAATTTTACTTTTTAAAAGACTAATTTAAAATTAACCAAATTAATTACATTACTTTAATTTACTGACAACTTGTATACCTGATAAACCAAACTAATTTAACTATCTATTAAAAATCATAATACAATTTTAACTGTGTATGTGTTAAAGTTTATCTATACTTATATTTTCTAAAATATATTTATAATTTATATAATTTACCAAATATTTTTTTTTATATAATAAAAATACATATATATATACATTAAATAAATTGTGCGTATTATTCAGTAAGTTGACAATCTTAACAGTTAATATCTCAAACTTATATATATTTTAGTAATTTTTATGTTGTAGCAGTGAATGAAAAATATATTATGTACTTGTACAATATTTAGTTAATCAAATTTAAAATGTGAATATTATATATGTCCACATGAGTCTGAATTTGATTAAATATATAGTATTATAGTGTTAACATTATATAAGTTGATATGAAATAAATTATATTTATTGTAATTGTGTTAGTATTCATTGTATTGTCTACAAACATATTTCGGCTAATATCTAATTTTTTTTCTTATCACATACCAACAAGAACTTTTCAAAATTATGAAATTCAAACAATTGAATTAAAAACCTATACTTTGTTTAATGTGAAAAGAAATATTGGTGGTCAGCTTGTTGTGAGATAAACCGTTTTACCTGTACACAGCTTGGTTGTAATCTAACTGTCTTAAACAAATATTGACTAGCGCTATTGTTCCTCTTCATATTAAAAAAAGCAGATACTCTATTAGAATTTTAATAATGTAATTCTTGAAAATACAGAAATATATAAACATAGTATATTAAATAGTTATTTTAATGTATAATATAGAGTTTATAATAGAGGTTTTTTCTTTGGATTTTCGAGATTCTACTTCTACTCATAATAAAATCTAATTAACCAACACATCATTATCATTGACACATTATAATAAATGGTTATTTTAATTTCAAAAATGAATATAAATCAAAGAAGATAAAATATGGTTTAAAAAAATTAAAAATTATTTTTATAAATTGAGATTCTGATTTTATTGTTCATATATAATTAAAACTAATTATATTATATTATACACATAACACATAGGCAGATATTAAGTACATTAAGTAATATAACATATTATTTAATTATAAATAGTAAAAGAGTAAAATGTTTCTATAATATGGTTATAATGTATACAGTTAAATAACAATAAATAAAAATAAAAAATATTTAAGTATTTTTAGTCTTATGATTCATTTTAAATATTGGTTTAACTATTAGTTCAATTATTTTTAAAATACTGATACATATTAATAAGTTTTGTTTAAAGGGCTTACAATATTTCTGGCGCAAAGGTTATATTTGTAAAGTTAAATAAATAACCTATAATTATACTAGTTATATTATGTATAAAATAAAATTGGAACATTTTATCTTAGGGTGACTAAGAACAGTTAGAAGGCACAAAGTATACATTGTTTTGTTTATAACAGCGTTTCTTAACCTGGGTTTTGTGAAAAAGTATGAGAGGATACCCAAAAAAAATAAAGTTTAATTTATTTGACATGGTTTGTTATTTATTAAATATGTAATTATTTTTGACACAATAGTCAGTTTTTCAAAATATATGAGTAGATAATACTATAATAAGTATAATATAACATTGAAGTCGTCAAATACTGTTAACCTGTGGGGAATGTAGAACAGTGGTGAGAGGTAAAAAGGTAAGTGAATGAATATAGGTTGAGAAACGCTAATTTATAGGATCACAAAAATAAGTATTTTGAATACTTATTTGTAATGTATATAAATTATAAATGAACAGCAATTTTTTTTCATAATTTAGTTGTCTGAGAAAGAAGTTTTTTTAAGCTAATAAAAATTGAATAGTATTATTTGAATGTATACATAATATATTTAATACAACAAACCTTCTAAATGTTCAGTTAATATAATTACATAATAATAATTTATTTATTATTTTACAAATGGGCTTAATACATAAACATTCATAAAAATAAAACAATTTATAGGAAAAATATAAAATTATAATTTATTAATAATGGAATGATTAATCTGTTACTTTTTTGTTCCTTTTAGTTTTTAAGCAGTATACAGTTAAAGTATAGATTGTTCTAACATAATTTTATCATAACCATTAGATGGCGGATACGAAAATCTTTCCAACACAATATCTAATATTGCACCATCATCCACTGAAATAAATACAATAGAATTAATATTTTTTTATGTTAAACATTTATAATAATAGCTCAGAGATAAATTTTATATAGATAAGCTAATGATATAAAAAAAAAAAGCCAGCACAATGATTTTCTGAAAAAAATTTAGTCCAAAATTTTAATACAAAGTAGCTATAAACATGTTATACAAATATATTTAGAAAATAAATGAAAAACAGAATTAATGTTAACTACTATTTTTAGTATTTAAAGTTAAAATCTTAACCGAACCAAGCAAACATTTTGTAAAAGCTGTTGAATATTAAAACTAATTCCAACATTACTGCTGCCAAATGGTATGATGACAGAAAGTGCTAAGCTGTCTATTACTGTAAAACCTAGTTGACAACAACAGAACACTAGACAAAGTTGTAGTAGATTAACATAAGAGCATTTATGATGCTCAGTTATGGTGAATATGTAAAAACAGCAAGATAAATTATTATAAGCTGATTTTAAACTCACTCCAGTATGTTTTTTACTTCTTTATATTTAGAAAATAAGTTTAAAAATTGTATTTGTTTTATACCGAAAAAATAATCTGCAAATATATAATTACGAAATAGCCAAAATTACTAAATGTAATATTTTTAATCAAATTTTGTAAATATTTTACACAGTTTTATATTTTTTCTATAACTACTATAAATTTGATTTGGTTATAACTTAACCAAAAAAGTATAATTTTTCAGATTTAGGATAAGTATAAAAAAAATGAATAGCTCTACTAGAAGAAGTCAACAATTTTACCTTTAAATGATGCCTCACAATTTTTACAATTTTTTTTATTGACAAAATATTAGTCACACATTTCCAATAACTTTAAATAGAATACATTATAACCATGTTTGCCTGTTAAGCCAGTATTGATACATAAATTGTTTAGTTATTAGTTCACTAATGAATACTATAGTATATTAGATATATTATAATTTATTGGTAAAACTTTTGATTAATTTATCCTTAGAAAAAAAATGTTAATGAATGATCTAATATTTAAAGAAACAAAAAATATGGTAATGCCATATTAAATATTTTAAGGGGGAGGTCTGATGAGCAGCTACCCCATAAATACACCCTTGATATTTAATATGCGATTTCTAGTCAAACAAAATATATCATAGTAATCAAAAACATAATAGTTATTATATAATAATTTAACATATTTATAACTATAATTAATAAAGCCATGTGTGAAAACAACTGTATAAGCCTTGTTATATTTACAATTTTTTTTTACTGACCAAATAAAGCTGGGAATACAGTTCCTCTTATTCCTGTAATTGGTTCATTTACTGGTTGGCCATTAATTGAATAGTTTAATTCAACATGATCATAATAAATACCCTAATAAAAATAAAATTGTTGATTTATAACAATTGAGATTAAAAAAAAAAAAAAACCTGATTTTAATACTTACAATAATATCACCTTCTTCAATGGTATTATCTATAGCTTTTAATACTTGCTGGTTATGTCGTTGTGCTCCATCATTGCATAACACCCACGAGTATTGATCGTGACCACCTGGCGCTTTACACAGATCTACATCATTCAGAGCTAAACCTACTCCCCAGATTCCTAATCAGAAATATAAATATTTAATTTAATAAGACAAAGGCATACAGGTGTTTAACTTACCAGATTGTTGTACTTTTACTTCAAAGTAACATTTATTTTGCACTATTGGTGCAGTACACAAAACACCACCACTACCGCATATCCTAGTACCATTTTTCACGATTACTACTTCATTACCTGCGATTATTAGAAAATTTTAAGTAAAGTCTACATCAATCGTTCGATATGTGTATTGTCCTATACCCATTCGGCTGGTATCCAAACATATAGGGTTGATTAGAGGAAAGGATGTATGTTCTGTGTACTTGATGCCATCGAAGCATCTTTTGAAACATGACAGCACAATTGCCATCAAAACGTCTAAATCTAAAATTCAACTTTTATAAAAAATGTTTCTAAAAAAAAATACAATTCAGGAAGCGCACTGAATGATGGAAGTTCGCAGTTGGTTTAATAAATTGGTATATTATTATTATCAACGTTGTACTGTTACTTGTTTGTGTTATCTGTTATCAAACAAATTTGGATGTATTCTACAGATAACAAAACAAAGTTGAATGAATAATAATGATTTGATTTTGATACAGTATTGAAGTAATGAATACATGAGAATTATTAAGACTGTAACTAATACCTGCCATACTAATATACTTTTAAACTTTTTATAATCATTAATTAAAAGGAATACAGAATGTGATTTCTGATAACTCGAATTTCTTAAAATGGGGTCTGCAGGTCATATTTACTAAATAAATACAGATAAACTGTAAAACATGATCTAATTAAAAATTAGTGTTTTAATTAATGGTCTAATTTGTTGAACAATACTTAAACACAGATTATTCATACTTCATAAACCTATTAAATCATACTGTAATAAATAATACTGTTATATAACTGGCATGTAAGTAGAATAGAATAAAAATTTGGCCATCATTAAAATTTAAAAGACGTTCATTATTATTATTATTATTAATATAGTGCGTTTTGTCACTACTTTCATTTTTTCTGACCAAGTTACAGAAAAATTTGAAATATTAGATTGTGGTATAATAGGAGATTTTTTTTTACAAAACATTCAATCATCATATAAAACAATTTATTGATTTACTATAAAAAACATTTATCATATTATATAAAGTAGGTAACAATTTTTATTCATAAAGATACTTAAATATATATTACAATTTTCTTAGAATATAAATCAGTTAAATAAATTTTATACTTTATTTAAATATTATACAATAACTAATAATACAATTTCAAAATCAAATACCTATAAATAAATAGATCTTTCTTTTTGTAGCGTAAGACTTAAACGTCTTATTGTTTGATGATTCAAATTATATTTTATTGTACTTATTTTGATATCAGTGTTTTTTTTTTTTAACTGAAATCAAGTGCCTGAAACAAATATAAGTTTATTATATGAATTATTTTTAATTACATCAGAAATATACCTATTTTCAGTTTTATATTTTAAGATAGTTACATTATAGCACAATATCATTGTTTATTTTTATACCTAAGAAATATTTAAGTGAAGTATACATAGTTTAAACTATATTAATTATAAATATCCAATCTTATCTCACTTTAAGGTATTCAATAAAAAAAAAAAAATAGTTATCTAGTCTATAAATGCATTACTTAGTTAATTTATAGAAATTATTACATTTTGTTTACCTTAATTCTGGATTTTTGTTTAAAATATCCAAAGCACTAATAAATTTCTTGTTAATTATTCCAAGGTCAGCACCATGTTCAAGTAATTTTGTTATTATATTAGCATTACCAATTGTACAAGCATAGTGCAATGCACTATTGCCACTATTATCTTGATTATTAATATTACATTTTTCAGAATCTAGTAGAACATCAATAACTTCACTCTTTTTATTTTTTACTGCCAAATGTAACGCAGTATACTGTTCAGAAGTTGTCAACAAATTAATGTCCGCTCCATATCTAATTAACATTTTTAAAATATTCATTTGGCCATTGGCTGCTGCTACATGAAGAGGAGTGTAACCTTTATAATTAGAACAATTTATATCTATAAATGTATCAATGTTTTGATTTTCATCATCAATACCTAAATAATGTTGTACTAAACGTATGTCACCATCAGATATAGCAGTTATTATTTTTCCAATCATTTTTTGCTGCAATGTAATTTCAACACTACTTCTTCTCACTCTTTCCATATTATTTCTCTTATTGATTTTAAATATATCTATCATTTTGGAATTGTGAGCACAATCAAAACAAGTTTGACCTCTACGATTACACACTAATGGATCTGCACCTTGCTCAATCAGTATTTGGACTACATTAGTATAACCCCATTTAAAACTTAAATGAAGAGGCGTGTCTCCCTGATTATTTTGTATGTTTATATTTAATTTTGAGTCCGAAAACTCCATAAAATATAATAATGCTTTGACACATAGATCATGACCATTTGAACAACACAAATGCAAAGGAGTGTTACCTTCATTGTCCCCTATCATCAATGCTTTATTATGTAACAAAAACAATAATGCATTTTGTTGTCCTCTGAGTGCAGCATAATGGGCAGGTGTAAGTGAAAAATTATCCAAAGCATTTATGTCTGATCCATATTCCAAGAGCAATTCAATAATAAGTGGATAACCATAAAAAGCTGCTACATGAAGAGGAGTGAGGCCCTGTTCATCTTTGTACTTCACACAAACCGCCGGTTCTTTTAATACCTCTTTCATACAAGAATCGCATTCACATAAAGGATGACATTTTGAGCTAGATTGTTGTATCTTCACATATTCTAAAGTTTCTTTAACTTTGTAGTACTCTCCTTTGCAAATATAATTATAAAACGTACCATAATTTGAATCATGGAAGCTTGATGTTAAATTAAGTTTAAAATTGTAAACTTTTATATGTTCAATAGCTGCTTCTAATGAAGTTAAATAGAAATTATCGTCAAATTCTTTTATATTGCTGATAATAAAATGTTTCATAAAATATATTTGAGCATTCCAATTGGGTATTTTACAATGAATGACTAAATGGACTAAAGCACTTAGAATATTATCCACAGTAAAGTTGTTATGTCCATTAGACAACTTTAAAAATGTATCTTTTAAACATTTAAACTTTCCAATAATGGTTTTATGCATAAACAATTTTGATAATTCACATCTGGCATTTGGTATTGCAGTTCTTACTTCTTGATCTACTTCTAAATCAATCATAGCACTAGAGTAATTTCGTATAAGTTTATTTAATTTAGCATCTTCTTCTGCCACTAAGATATTTATATCATTTATTAAGACAGTATATAGTTTATTTTGTATAAAATACTCTACTGCAAGTTTAATATTGTTTTGAAAAAAATTATTGGATTTTTTTATACGATAGTTTGCTTTTTGTAAACATTTAGTATACAAATTTTCAATGGATTTTTTCTTGACATCAATAGGCATATTAATATAGTCATTGGATAATAAAAAATCGTCCATTAAGGATCTTAAGTCTTTTAATAACAATTTATTGCTTTTAGAATACAAAAAATTTAAACAGTCTTGAACAGATGTTATTACAATAATATCTTCTAAAATAGTAGTACAATTTAATGGGCCATCTACACATATTATTTTATAACTATGGTTATGTTCTGTATAGCATGTTTCAATAAATAGTATGTCTACTCTATAAGTCTTGTTTTCATACTGACATATAACTGCATGATTGTCTAGAGAAACATTGTGGCCACTTACTGTAATAAATTTCAAATCTGAACTCTTATTGGGAATTAAAATGTGATCATTGAAATCTTTTTCAGAGTATTTATTTTTTGAGAAGGAACCTTCTCTGGGAACACATATAGGCCATCCATTTTCAACAGCTTTATAAAATGTTTCTGCAGAATATTTGCAAAGAGATATCAAAAACTGATTAAATAAAACATCCTCATCATAGCAGTGATCCATTAGATGACTAAAAAAATATAAGAGTAAAACTAATAACTATAATTATTTTAAAAGTCATAATAGGTATACTTACTTTGTTGCAATTTGTAACAGAATAAAATTAATTTAACTAATAATTAAATAGATGCATGTATAATTATTCTTTGATTGTATTACAATTTAAATTAGGCTGTCTAAAATAATTCTTTACAATTCTCTAGGCCATTAAATGAAGTAATAAAACATTATTAAGAAACAGTCGTTCATAGCATTAACAAAGTTCAATAGTTTTCTGTTGTTATTATGTAATACGTAATATTATAATAATGAGTCTATAAATTATGATAGTAATATAGATATAATAAAATAGGTACTTCGTTGTTTTTTATCATGAATCAGATAACAAGAACTCTTTATCTATAGCATTCATAGATGATAATATGGAAGATGGAACATTACCTCCTATTCCACAAAATAATAGTTCCAAAGTCAATTTGTTCAAATTGAATACATTTCTAAAATGATGTACCTACATAATATATTTTTTTTGAGAAACATCTATTATATTGTTAAAAAAAAATTACATTTATTCCAATTTTGATTTATTTCAAATTAAATAAATACATTATTTGGTATCGATATTTTTTTATTAAAACAATTAATAAAAAAAAAATTGGTAATAATGATTTACCAAGACCATAAATACCGATTTAAGTTTTCTCAATTTTATATTTTTGCATATTGAAACAAAAATGACCAACGTTAAGAAAAATATAATTTATTAAACAGGATCGATGTGGTTATCTATACTAAGAGGTAATGAATTTATTAAAATAATTAAGGGTACAATTTTTTTTATTGCACTCAACCGTGAAAACAGTATATTTTATAGTCTGTTTAGGTAATTAAAAATAAATTTTAATACCTGTTATACCAACTTTTCAAATAATTTCTCTTATCAACTCGTATTATTTTTAATATAATATAATTGATTAGCCCAATTTAGATCAAAGTTCATCAAATTATCGAAATAGAACTTCATTATAAACATTGACTAGATATTAGTAAAATAGTAAAATTAATTAAGGTTCTACTAAAACCTAAAAAATTTTTTAATATTTACCAAAAGTCTTAAAATGTAGGTATGTATCAGAATTCAGAGACTAATAAATTATCCATTTTTAAACAATTTATATTAAACTTTGCAAAACTGTAATGATTTTATCATAAAATTTTATTACGATTATAAATTATCATACATTCACACGTAGTCAATTTTTCATTATTATGAAAATTATTACGATTGATGGTATTAAGATTTTATAACGGTTCTATTCAAAGTAAATTCATACAATTAAGGATTAAAAATATCAAAATAAAAATATTTAGTATAGATTCATTCGATAGGCACTGTTACAAAGAGTGGGCTAACCCAAATTATCATTCTAGTCATATTGGAAATTCATTAAAACCCCTTGGATTGGACCACATTCTGCAAAATTATACTTCATTAAATTTATTTAATCGTAATTCATTTATTATTTAAATCTGAATTCAATACAAAAAATAAAATTAAACCAAGATATATTGTAAAAGTATGATAAATGTTAAGGACCGTAAAATTGAGGATATCCGAATGTGTTTTTACCTTTTTCATAGCCCAAGTGCGTCCTTGGTTCACAGCTATAGGTGCCTAAAAATAATCGAATAAACCTTTCAAGATACCTATAGGTTTGACGATCGAATATGGTGGTTCACTAGAAACAGAGGAGAATTTGCATTTCAATTTCGATAATAACTTTATTCAGCACGACTACAATACTTACTCCGTTACGGTCAATAAGTGCTAGTGAGCTTGCGTGCGAAGTAGTGCCGTAATATTTTATAAAATAATATGATCAAAATTTTGAAAAACTTCATTACCAGATAACATGGTAAGCCAACACGGTAAGTAAATAAAATTAAAATTCCATAAAATATTAAAAATGATGTAAGGCGATAGAATTGTACCAACAAAAATTATAAATCGTATTTGAATTATTTGAAAACCAATGAAAGTGGAGATAGGTACTAATGTTATATTGTTTTACCGAATATATATTTACCGATCTTGAATTAGCTATTTATTTTGGTGCATTAACATTTTGGTAAACTATAACTATTAAAGAATTTTGCTTTTATTTAGGGCAGGTTTGGTGGCGTCATATTTAAAATCTGGGGTTGAGTAGATATAGATGATTATCGTAACCAAACTGAGATAGGTTAATTTTTTAAAAATTTAATTGGATTATCTTAATGAAATGGAGAAGATGTAGAGAAATGTTTTGTCGAAGATTTTATATTTATGTAATGCCGAAACATCAAAAACCCAACGAATTTATGGATTATTTAATTGAAAATTATGTATAGATTCTAGAGCAAAATTTCTTATTTCTAGATGGGCTGATATAAATAGTAGTTATCAGTTATGAAAGGACAACAAATACTTGTGAAAGTTTTCATTAAAAGTATAATTTGTTATTTTAAACACACCACCCAGATATGACTGATACGAGTATATATACATTTTCGAAAATGTTAAAAAAAAATTTAAATCAACACCAAAATAGTTATCTGAACGGTCACACAAACAAGTAACAAAAAAAAAAAAAAAAACCAAAAAGAACTACAAGCAAAAAAATGTTATACATTGAAGGCTATATAAATCAATTTCAAAATAATAATTAATAAAATATAAAAACTAGATTTTGTCAAAAGAATGGTATTTAAACACTAGCCTATAATCTATATAGCCATATAGGTATACTAAAAAAAAATCATTTAAAATAATTAGTCTGCTCGTCCAAATTTAAGGGTGCTAAGATAAAATATATTATTATAAAGAAGAGTCACAAAATATTTTTTTGATGTAGGCCAATTCACCTCCTCATGGTGCATCCTGAGTAACTCTAAATGAACTAAGATGCACAGGGTTATATCAAAAATATGATTTTTTTTCTTGGAACGCACTCGGAGCGTTAAAAAATGATAATTTTGAAACGCACTTGTGAAACTGCCGTAAAATCATATAAGGCGAGCCACAGGTTGACCACCCCAGTTACTAGTCCATATTTAAAAACAATGAAAAAAACAATGGTTACCAAAAGTTTCTTTTAATTATGTATGAAATTAAAGTTTATTGCTTTATGTTTATATAATATAAATTATAAATAGGTAGGTACTTTAAAAACTGGAAATTTTCCAGACTTGTTTAAACTAAAATACATCAATGCAAATAGATTGTTGTTGCACTATCCAGTGGTGAAATTGGGAGTGCTAAGCATACCCAAGCCCCCCCCCAAATTGCGCCTATGAACTATAATTTTACCCACTGAATGAACTAATTTCAAATTTTATTTTCATTCCAATATCCTTGTTTCTGTAAAAATGTAAAAACTAAAAACATCTCTAATTATTATACTTGTACCAAAAATTATTTCTTCTAATAACTATTTTTTCACACAACATTTGTGTGATTTGTTTCAAAAATCATTTTGTTCCACACTTTTCTCCGTTATCTATTCTGTGATAACATCATAACAATATCATTTTAAATATTATCAATTATCCTTTAATGATTAAAGTTCATAGAACTTTTTTCATAATAAAATAAATACTAAAAGTTAAAAATATTTTTTCTAGAAAAAGCGGATTTCCAACTGTCAAAATATTATTTTAATTTCAAACATTTTCAATTGTTTAGTCTATGAGTTTTATGATGGAAAAAATTACGTTTTGTAAAAACTGGTCATTTTTGAAAACGTTTACAAGAAACCACAGTTCAAAAGAATGGCTATTACGACAAAAAACTGATCCATATGTCGAAAAAGCCAAAATAAAAAGTTATAGGTATTGTAGATGAAGCTTAATTATTATTTATTTTTTTAATTGTACAGTATATTATTTAATTGCTCATACTAGTTAAATGTAATTATCATTCACAAAATAAACAAACATAATAATGCTACATAAAAACAATAAGATAATTGTCTTACATTTTTAATACAGATGTAGAAGTGCGTTCAAACTATTGCAAATGGATGATAGATTTTCTATATTGAAACCAGGCCAGTGTGTAATAGATATCGGTGCAGCTCCAGGTAGTTGGTCACAAGTAGCTGCATCTAAAATTAATTCAACTTCTACTAGTAAGTTTTTTTTAAGATTTATACTATATACTCTAATATTATTTAGTAACAATTAATTTATTAGTTAAATTATTATACATTTGTTACCTACCATCAATGTTTGCTCAGTTACCATTAATAATTTATATAATATAATATATAAGTATAGCATCTGTTAAATATTCTTTCTACATAATAAATTAATTGTTTAACCACATCAATGTTCAAATTGCTGCTGATGTTGAAATTTGGATTATAATTTGAAAATATCTTTTTTTTGTTAAATCAAGAATTGGCTATCTTCTTGATGTTGATATTTTAATAAGTCAGTTGATCTGTATGATTTAATATTATACTTATTTTTTACTCGTTTCCAAAACATTTTGATGGTTTGTGTTTCAGCCCTGTTTCCTGTAATCTTGGTTATGCGTAATTCTCGTTCTTTTAAATATTGTGCACACATATCTTTATTTCCAAGTATGTGCCAATAAAAATAACTCGTAGTTAAAAAACTCATCTTAAATTTTAAAAATAACACTTAAACTGACTTGAAATATGTTAAAATATTAACTAAATTATTTGTTGCACATTCTTAAAAATCATTACTAGTATGATATACATTGATAGATAACGTTCTTATTATAGATAGCTGCATACTATACAACAAAATATGTAGTAGATAGCATACTAAACAATTATTAAATATTATAGTTGTAATAAAAATGAGATAGATAATTCTCTTTTAAAATTTGCTTTTGTAATTTTTACTATCAATAATTCATTATGTTTAATTAAATTAACATGTACATTTTGTTTATCTTACTAGATAGTGAAATTCCAACAGGCTTACTGATTGGTATTGATCTTCAACAAATGTATCCGATAGAAGGAGTAACATTATTAGGAAATTCTGATTTCACATCTCCTAAAACTTGGCAAAAAATAAAAGAATTATTAAATGGTCGTCCAATAGATGTTGTTTTAAGTGATATGGCACCTAACGCTTCAGGAGTAAAACATTTAGATCATGATTTAATCATAAAATTAGCCTATTCAGTAGTTAAGTAAGTAATTGAAATAATTACAATAGTAATGAAAAACATAAAATAAATTAAAGGTACCATTTATAATTTACAGATTTGCTGTTTTAAATTCAAATGTTGGTGCAACGTGTTTAATTAAAATTTTAGATGGTAATCAAAATTCAGAGCTTGAAAATACTTTATTAAAATTTTATTCAAATGTAAAATTTGTAAAACCTGAAGCTAGTCGATCAGATTCAGCAGAAAAATATTTACTTGCTCGTGGATTTAAAGGACTTAAACAAAGTTAACTTCTGTATATGTTATATGTCTATAAATAATATGTAATAAACATGTATGTATAAATGTAATATAATATTTTCTTTAAAACATAGTTTTAAAATATACTTTTTAAGAAAACAATGCATGTGTTTTGTCCATCTTACAAATGTACAAAATATGAAATTTAAGTACAGCAGAACCAATTTTATGTTCACTTAAATATTTGCCTGAATTAACTTATTATCAAACTTATAGGTCAGAAAATGATTAGTGTTTAGTGTCTGCCTTATTTTTATCAATATCTTAATATTCCAGTATTTTTAATTTTCACACATCTTGCTTAAAAATAATTATATCGAAATAAGCTGTTGCTAAGCATAGAAAATGTTATTACGTTTAGGTTTAAAAATAAGTGAATTCATTAAATATTTTATACTGAAACCATAAAATCTAAAAAAATAAATAATGGTAATTATTTTTATAAATATTTTATGTTAAAATTAGGATGAAATTATTTATTAAAACAATAAATAACGTTGTTAATTATTTAAAATTGTTATTCGTGGAAACTTGAATTTTTATTTATTTTATATTATTATGAATTTTACTTTAACCAATTACATTTTTTGATTTGTTTTAAAATATTACTATTACTAATTACCTAAATAATAAATACTATATTTTTGAAAAAAAATAATATCAGCCTACTTTAATACTAAAACTAAAATAAATTACTTACTTATAAAACTATATTATTCTATTGGTAATAGACAAAGATAACATAAAAATGAATCAAGATGTTTATAATATTAAGCCGATTATAAATATTAAACTGTTAAATTCTTTTTTAACTAAAAAAAAACGGAAGAAAATTTTAAATGAGTTAATATCTGTGCAAATATTTTCTATAAGTTATTAAATAAATATAATTAATTTAAGTACACTAAAAGAAAAAAAATACCATATAAATTAACATAAAATAAAATCAGGGATAACAGCTAATTTAATAACATCAGTTAGAAGAAGGGATAAACTTAGTAAAAGTACAATAAATAGATAACATTGAATTGGTCCCGTAATTACTTTTGGGTTATAAAGGCTATAAGAAATAAACAATCATAATGTAAAATTATCAACTGATAGTTATTTTTAAATTTGCATCACACTTATATTTGAATAGTTAAATATATTATTATAGCACGTCGCTTATTCATATTCTATAACAGTGGACAATTAACATTGAAAACGAATAGTGATGTACTGATGTAAATTGTGGGGAGTCTTGATGTATAATTATATCAAGGAACGAGTGCTTCGAATTTTATTTTTTCTACGTTCATTTGATAATTTTACAGCAATGTGCTAATAATGTATTTTAATTGAGATTTTGATATGGCTTTCAATTTGAATTATTGTTTGTTGTTGTTGATTATAAGTACTATAATGTCAGTAACAATTATAATTGCTAAACGGATAACGTTGAATTGAGTCCCAAATATTGAATTGAGTCCCGAATATTGAATTGAGTCCCGATTATTTAATTGAGTCCCGATTATTGAATTGAGTCCCGAATATTGAATTGAGTACCGCAAATACTTTTGGGTTATCGGGGTTGAGTCCGACCAATATTGAATATTGTTAAATGTTAGATTATTCGAGTTGAGTCTCTTTCTCTAATTTTAATAATAAGTAGGTATAAATAGTTAATTAATTAAAAAATATTAAAAATATTAATGAATAAAAGATATTTTTACCAAGAGAATAATTATTTATCGACAGGTATTGAAAGTAATAATTTGTAAATTTCAAGTACATACTTATTTAATTATTTTTGGAAATATAATAAAATATTAAAAATTGTTTGAGGAAAAATAATTATTTTATGTGTGATTTTACGGTCCATTATTCACTTGTAATAATTTAATAATTAAGTATTAACTAATTGTGTGTCACCACGGTATAGGTAGTTATGACATTTTATCGATATGAACTCAATGCAAAGATATTAAGATAACAAGCTGGACTCAATTCAATTTCACCGGTTTTAATTTTTTTTCTTATCCCATTACCAACATTATGTATTATAAAGTGTAATAATGTAAAAATGTATTAATAAATAATTGTAATATACTCGCCCTACTCTTACCACAAGCTATTGCTTGTAGGCAGTAGGTATCAACTTGTGTAAATATCAAAAGTAAATATATTGTTATGAAGTCGAAATTGGAATAAAAAAATAAATATCACAAAAATATATACTTAGTGATATGGACTGACAAACCATCTCCGTGCAGAATCGTTTTTCATATATTATGTACGTTGATAAACCATTAAATTCAAACTTAACAGATCTATAATAGTGACTCACTCGACACCTAATATACAGAAGAGTGGTAATTACTTTGCTAATTTTCTTTTTCTCGGTGCTTATAAAAACCACTGAGATTTTACTTCAGACACAAAATATCAACTATATTCATTTTCCTATCGGAAAATTTACTGAAGCATATTTACAGCTTCAAAATGTAACAACACAAAAATGTTAACAATTTTATGAAATTGGGTCTTCACATTAGTAGATTTTAAGTAAGTCAGGATAGATTTACAAATATATTAATACTTTATACTGAACACGATTTTTCAATAAATGTGTGACGAACAAATCTTGAAAAAATTTTCAATTTGTTGGTTACATTTAGAAATATGTATGAGTAATATTTACCTAAATTTGTTAATAACTATGTTAACTATTGGTAATACCTGTTTATAGTACCTACTAAAAATATTTTTAATTTTAGTGGTAGATGTGTTTATATTAAATATAAGGTACCTATGTAGGAGAGGGGCTCTGATATAAATGATAAATATATTGTGTTTATATGTAGTAGCTAGTATATAATAAAAACCAAGCAATAATGTTATAAGTATCCATGTCAATACAATAAGTGGAAGTTATAACTCACAGGTCTATTTTATTTAAACATTTATAACCCCTTCAAACTCCAAGTCAAAAACTGTAATTGCGCCTATAGTTACAAGACATTCCTAGGACGTTATAAAAATCTATAAGTAATTGATGTTATGGGTCTATGAGTTAAACCTATATATTCCGTTAATGGTTTTTTAATTAATTAATTAATTAACTGTAATTTCTAGTTATCAAACTGCCCTGACGGCGTACCTATATTGTTAAAAAATCGAAAGAAATTAAAAGATAGGTAGGTACCAAAACTAACGAGGATAGTTGCTATAGTTTCATATTTGTTAAATCTATGATTTATCGTTCATTGAAGTTAAATCTAATATCTAAGTAAGTAAAAAGAAGTAATTGTTATTCTATACATATATTTAATACATTTCATCAATTAAAGTAATTTCTATAATATCATTATGTCTACTTTAACGTCTTTAACATATACATTTTATCATCTTCCTAACAAAGAGCCAGTCGGACTATGCAACAAGATTGTTCAAGGATATCTTCTCAAATGGTGTGTTAAACATGGTTTAATAATAATAATAACGTTTTGTAGTTATATAATTAGTAAAAATAATGTTAAATATATATATATATATATATATATATACACCTGATTTAAACGTCCACAGTAAATACTTACTTATGTATTATAATTTCATAAACAATTATAGATTTACCTATTATACCTAAACCTTATTGACATATGATAACCACTTATGTTTAGGTACCTTAATATTTATTAAGATTTGATAAAGTTAGATAATTTGTAAAATTTTTATCTTCTATTTATGTGTTTTAATTTGAAGGACCATCATACTAACGATCGTTAAGTCATATAGTAAATTACAAAACATAATAGATATTATAATAATATGATTGATTGAAAATAGTTATTTATAGTAATAGGTACATATTATAGACGCGTTTTAAGCATTTAGGTATTTAAAATTACATAAATAATGTACGGTACCAATGTATCATCTTTTACGTGCATGTTTTTTTTTTTTTTAATTTTGTTTGATTGATACTTTAATTATTAGTTCTTATAGGCAATAGCAATATACTTAAATACTGCGTTTTACGTTTTGTCACAGGTCAATGAAGGAATGTTTACATATTAATTATTATGCGTTCAATCAAGAATTTAAATCGAACGACATTAACCAGTTTGCATTGGTTTGATATTATAATTATTATTTGTCCATAATTAATAATAATAATATGCTATTTATTTATTACAAATAGATTCAGAAAATAAATACTTACATATTCATATGTAATAAAAACAAATTAAATATACGTAATAAACATATTTATTTTAATAGGATTTTTTTCGAGATAACAACGTGGCAAAAAACTTGCAGTCAAGTTTCAATGAATTTTCAGGCAAGTATTTTACTTTTTAGTATGAAACATATACTATTTATATAAAATATTTATTAAATAACTAAATAAATCATAGTAATATAGAATTGTTCAAAATAATATATTAATATAGTTTAGAATGTTTAGATACCTATACTCGTAATTTTGTAATTTGTGGCAAGCAGATACTTCCACTTCCTCTGAAATTTTTGCGATTATACCAAATTTCCATTTTCCAACAGTAGAAATTTTTAAATTTTCTAAAATTTAAAAATAATGTAATATACTAATATACTTAAAATATAATAATACTTTTTCTTCAATTTCTTGCATTAAGTACCAACTAACATTTATTTAATATCTGTTCTGTTGTAAATAATTTTATTACATTATACAATATAGCATTATTTGGATTGCAAAGTAATAACTTAATGCTATGATATTATAAATTATAAATATATAATTATAATCACAAATTCTCATAATTTTTTTAAACAAATTTAGTACTTTTTTAAATTCTAATATAATTAATATTATTTAACGATGGGCACCTATGATTAATTTCTAAGCCATAAAATAAGTATTAGAACTTGTGTAAAAACAAATTATTTTTTATGGTTTAGATTTTGTTTTCCTCTTTACTAATTTTTTACTCACTGAGCCATTTGTGGTTACTTGCATTTTAGAACAAATTTTTTTTTTTTTTTTGGACCATTATTTAAATTAAAATCTAGTTAAAAAGAATCTCTATAATATATATTGTTATTTATGTAAGTTTGCAGACTATTATAGTCATCTGTTTCCGAGGTTCAATTCAATACTTATTTCAGTTCCATGTATACTTATGCGTTATGCAATAATTATATTATTATTAGTCTTATATCTATGCCGTATTTGTATAACCCTGTTTAAAACATATAATTATAATTTTTATTTGAAAAGAATTTATAAATCCATTTGTTATTTTAATTGTACTTATAGGAAACAATGTAGCTAAAGTTCAGACCAAATCAATTCCTTGCACTGTCACTTCAATGAAATTTTTCGATAAGCTCTTAGACCCGAATAATGGCATCGTTTGCAACAACGGCACTGGTGACGACGGTAATCACGCAATACATCAGTGTATGGAAGTATTAAAAAATGGCATATATATTTCAAATAAACTGAAAATGGTACAGTTATTATAAAGTATTTCAATTTTAAAATTTATTTTTGAGTTAGATATACTAAAAATAAAAAAACAAAATCGATTTTGTTAAAATTTTAAAAACGTAAAAATTTGTAAAAATTTGCGTAAAAATTACCACTTTTACTTAATTTTTTTGTTTTTCCCAGTTATTTTAAAAATTCTTGAAATGTTTAATTTTGACTTTTCTAAAATACAAACAAGATCTAAATTTCTATTAGAAGCCACCTTCTAAATTCAAAATCAAAGAATTTTTTTTAAAATTCTTATCATATAATCCACAAAAAAAAAAAAAAACACCATTATAATATAAATAGATACATTGCTCCTCTCAGAATCTAATACTTCACATATTTATAATACTAAGAAAAGTAAGAAACAATTCACTGTTTACGAGCTGATGCTAAAATCGGAATATTTTATAAAAATTAGTAGCCTAGTAGAAACTAGGTAGGTACCTAATAGGTACCTAGTTCAATATTTATTGTATGCTATAGCATTGATTTTACAATTTATTAGTTAGGTATCAATAAAATATTACAAAATTGATTACTTATACAGTGATCAAGTACTGTATCATGCATTTTTGCGATGTGTAGCCGTGTAGGTATTAGTTTAATTGTATAGGTACCTAATTAATAATTATTATGATTCATACACATAAAAGTATAAAATGTATGAGTAGAAACTTTTTATACTTCAACTGCTAATTACTCAGTACTCACTACCTATCTTTAATCACGGTACCACGTCTACAACACAGGTCATAGACCAGTAGACTTAAATAGTAAATATACCTATTTGGCTATTTCCTAAATAGGTAAGTGTTTTGTGTACTCGCATAAATGGTAATATGGACTATGGTATTATATTATGAATTTATGAATAAATTATTTTATTGAAAATTGATATGATTGAATTATACCCATGCATACTTCAACGTATAGATGCTGTTTGAAGATGAATGCGAAGAATATTTTTTGTACAACGAAGATGAACGCGTTGAATTCATGTTTCGGCTACTACAACATTTCTCTATCGGTGGCCAATGGTGTCAAGACGACGTAGTTATCGAACCGTACTTAGACGCAATAAAATACATTTACAAAGATCTATTAACGTGAGCAAATTCATATTATAAATCATAATAATTATAATTTATTACTCTCATAAATTTGAGGTGATTCAGGTTTTGCTTGTTTCAGTGTTGAAAAAATTCCCGGGTCTGGAATACAAGTTTCGTCCAAAATTTATCAAGTCGTCGCTTTCGATTCTAACGACATAGTTTTATTCCCAAAAGAAAGCAAACATCTCATATCTTATAGTTTTGCATATTTAGTTGTGAATCCTAAATCTCGGACTGTCGCATTACTTTTTCATAATGTCGGTGACACAATTTATACTTGATAAAGTATTCTTTATTTATTTGTTTTTGCCATTTTTTATTCACATTTTTCTAAAAATAAATTTATTTGATTTTCAATTGTGAGTTTTATTATAGTTTATAGTTGGTAAATAATTAAAAAACATTTATTACTTAATTATTCCAATAAGTAAAAAATTTATTTAGATTAAGAATTGTTATTGTATTATTAATTTTTAAGTAATGAAGTGATGTTGTAATTAATTAAATCTATCAAGAGGTTGACTCTATAGTCTATATACTTAATTAACAATTTTGTTATTAGATTACTCGTAGTAACAAATTTCTAATATTAACTAATGGGCAATGACCACTAAAATACATTAAACAGTACTCACTAGTAATGAGTCATTATACTATGACATATAAGCTTAACATACAATTGTAAAAATTAAGTTACAATTTTGTTTTGAAGAATATTTATTTCTATTCATAGAAAACTGTTAAGTTTATATATTTATAAATTAGGAATCTAATAATTATCTATCTTAAAGTCTAATATTTAATAAGACATATCATTTTTCTTGCAGCAAATATAACACCTATTTAATAGTATTACTTATTAAATGCATTTTAATGCTTAAAAATATGTTTAAAAGCTTACTCCATTAATCACAATATCATTATACTTAAATACAAATTATTGAAATAGAATACAGTTTAAAATGTGTCTAAAACTAACAAAAAATAACATATTTCTACCATCAAATAAATATATTATTTAGGACATTTGTGAATTAACTTTATTATATTAACAAATTATACTCCATAAATTTAATAACAAGTAAGAATAAAAAAACAGACAATTATTAATATTCTTAACTTATCAACTAAATTTTAAATAAAGCTTATTACTTACACATAAATACTATAGTTTTTTAGTTATGTAGACATGAGTTGAGTAATTTTGATTGATTTTAGGGTTATGAAAATGCAAAATGTATTTTCAATCAAAATGAGAAGAAAAAAACTTTAGTCTATTATTTTTTAAATTTAACAGTAAAAAAAGATCCCTACATATCAACAAAGCACTAGAGGTCAATTTTTTTTAAAAGCCATAAAAAAACACATGTATACAATTTACATAGTTTTTATAAAGTATTAGTTAAATTAGAAGAAAAAAATAATAACTAGTGTCTTGATAGAACAAATAAAAACAAAATTTGCTAATTAAATTAGACACCATGTATTAATACAAATACCATATTACATACATTTTTAAATATTTTGAGACTCGCTTTTGTGCATAATTTGATTTTATATATTGAAATATAGCATAATAACATATTAGTGTCCGGCTTGTGGTCGATGGTGTTGTTGCTCTTCGTTATCCACCAAATAAGTAAGAAAGGCAGTGAACAAAAAAATTCCAGTCAATATTCCTAGTGTGCCCGTAGATGTATAAGAGAAAAATGTGTAAAACTGAATTCTGGCATACCACAATAATGATATTATTATTGTGATTAAAGCAGATAACAATGTTGCTAAATTCCATTCACGTTGAACTGGTCCAGGTTGACGTTGACCATGACGTATCACATTTGGTAGTGGTTGCTCATTAGTATCATGATTTACAGGATCAGGGGTTTGTTGAGCATTAGTTGTAGGACGTGGCTGATGTATAAGACAGTGTACGACACAATTATCATGAAGACCACAACTACTCAGTGATGCTTCATCATCATGTAATACTTTTCCTTGAAATATTAAACGAATAATTTTATTTGATGCTAGCTCATTGGTAAAATGTCTCCTAAAATAAAAATAACAACATAATATAATAATAATTTATTCATTCATTATTCAATTGTTATACCTTTTGAAAACACCAACATTTTCTTGTAACCTGCCTTGAACTAAACGACAGTTGTCATTTAAATACTTAAGACGTATTCTTATAGAGTCTTCATATATCTGCGGTTCATTTTCAATATTATTGGTAGAATCGCTTTGACTAGATTCATTAAACTGTTCAGTTTTATTTACATCAATTTTAGAACCAGCAGGATCATCATTTTTATTTTGAGGATTATCATTGTTCAATGTTGAATTTGTTTCTATAACATCATTTAATGGAACTGTTTCTGTTGTAGATTGTTCACCTGAAACAATTTACTTAATAATTTTACTACACAACTAAAACTAAAATTATTGCAAACAAATAGAGTAAATTCTAAAACAAATAATTTTTATTAATAAATACATAAAGCAATGGTGAAGTTTATTGGTTAAAGAAATAAAGAAAAAACCTTTTCTTAAATCAAAAACTTAATTATTAAAAGTTAGTTATCAATAATAATTAATATTATATTGTATAGTTGTATCTGTAAAATGTCTATTATTAAAAACCTAGTATGAATAATTAAAATTATCAATATACACATAATAACAGTAAATTTGTAATTCTTAAAAGTACTGATTAATTATGTATCAGTCATAAGCCATTAACAATCAATCAATTTTTTGAGGATATTAGTTTACTCTTTAGATATCTTCTATACTTAAATACAACGTAAATAATTAAAAACCTAACCAAAGTATTTTTAAAGTGTTTTAAAAATAAGAATTAAGTAATAAATATAAATAAGTATTCATTATGTTAATTCTTGTTTTATTTTTAAAATAATTATAAGTCTATATATATATATATATATATCAAAAAATAAAATAATTTGATCTAAGAAACAAGATAAGTTGTAATTTTCTAGAGGGATAGCTTTATTAAGAGTATTATGCCGACATAAGTTTTGTAATAATATACATTATACTTACTTATAGATGAATTAGGAATTACAGGCGCAACTCTTGTAGCATCATGGTGTCTTCGTCTTGTACGCCTTTCCAAAATGAAAACAGCACCACGGAATATTTGCATTTCGGCCACTTGAGTAGACATCCATAGTAAAACGATTAACACAACAACAAATAATATGCCAAAAAACTGAATAACTTCATCACCAAATCCTTCCACTAATGCCATATCTACATAATTATAAATTAACAGAAATGAACACTGCAGTCTGCATTTATCATCAACGGTATGCAAATTACTTACTGTTATATTTTACTTGAGAATTACAATTCTTCAGTTTTTCTTATTCATTTACATGATTATTGTGTTAACACCAAATACAACTACCAAGGTAGTGCTTCATTATTATAACATCAAGTATCAACATTCACAATCTTTATTTTATTATTATTGGATTATAAAATTTCAAGGTTGTTGAAATATTATAGAGTTGTTAATAATTATGGTGAAACGAATTAACTTTTGAGTAAACTATGAGACATTAAATTAGTTTTAGCCCTTGAAATCGAAGGCCAAATTTATAATTTTAATTCAATCTTAATCTCGATGACAACTATGGAGTATAAACTATTAAGCGACTTGCAACTATTAGCCTATTTTTCCAATTTATTAAATTAATAAAAAAAAAAAAGTACATTCATAAATTTATTATTGATAATATAAACATATGACAAGTGACAACTAAACCTAATACTATACAAGAATAAGTAAACAATTATCACCCGTACTACTGACGCTATCTCGTATCCTCGTATGCAACTTCTAAATGAAAAGAATTGGCGTTATATCTATGTATTATGTGGTAGGTATTGGTTAAATGAGTGAATGTCGAATGGTAATGGTGGAAACTAGAAAAAAATATAAAATGTCCAAAAAAAATAACAAAGGATAAATGGTTTTTATGCGAAGGTAATAGATATATTGTTGAAACTATAGTAAATTTAAAATTCAAAATATATTCATAGTGTATTAGTGTATGTCACGAATTAAAGAGTTAGAAGTCTTTAAGGGGTATAAAGTACAAATACACCTTGAATAATTGGTAAACTTTTTTTTTATAGTGGATTTAAATGATAACTGATCACAGTTGCTTAATGCTTTCTGCAATTATAAAAGTCCAGTAGTGTAGTATATCTATTATCTGCATCCGTGATTGTCATAAGTAACAACTAAATCACAATTTAAGATGATATCTTAGTCTCAGATAATATTACTAATATTAGTATTATTGAGCTCTTAGTAAACTAACAGAACTAGTAATAACTGATAAATAACAATTATTAATTTCCAAATTGCTAATAACTTTATTTTATAGGCAGCTTTTTATTCAAGTTATTTCAACGATAAAAAAAAATAATTTTTAAGCATTTGACCAAAACTTTAATTACCTTTCTAATCAATTGTTACAATATCATTTTTAATAGAAATAGGTACTAGTGGTACCTAATATACGAATACATAGTTTGAAAATGTTGATAGATTCACAATTTATTTCATAAACCATAATCAGATTAGAGTAGGACTATAATATAATTAGTTAATATTAGTATAGACCAGTAGCGTATCTAGGATTTTTTTCACGGAAGGCCGAAAGTGGATATAAAGATCATTTGATAATTTGTATAAATGGAGCAACAAAAATGGAATGTCTTTAAATATTGATAAATGATCCATTAAGTCCTATTTTTATAATAGAAACACTCTTTAATTTTAGTCTATTTAGCGTCTAAAATAGTTTTCTAAAATTTTGATTTTTAAGTGTAATTTTGAAAGATTTCCTCATTCAGGATATATTATTATAGGTATTTTTATTTTAAATAGTTTTATTAAATAAAAGATTTCATATGTTACATTTAAATTTTCGCTTCAAGACTTTAAATGACTGCATAATTTAATAGATTGCCACAAGTTTTTAGAACGAATACACTTCAGAGTAACTTTATTTAATTCATAAAGTATATGTCCATTTTATCTATCTAAGATCAATACAAATTATACATTCAATTATCCTGCTAATGTATTAATGTCTACTGGAAACTTTTTAATTACTTAGACATATTTGTATAACCCTAGAAAAGTTAAATAAATATTTTTTAGATAAGTACCTAGGTAATTGTTAAACTTATCATGTATCTCTCTATTATATGTATTATCTATCATTTTATTCCTATTAATTATTATTACATTATGTAACACAATTCCACATGACGTACTGTTATTGTTATATGTTTGAAATTGAAATTTTATTTTGTAAAATAAATAAATATCTGTTATCAAATTATCAATTTATAATTGATAAAATGTATACGTATCTAATATAATTATTATTGACTTTAATATCATTAATTTTCGTTCATAATGTTCAATTTTCATATAATTATCAAAATATTGTTTAAAAAAATAAATATAAAAATTACCTCTGGGGGAATGAATCCACCCATCACCATATGTAGATACGCCGTTGGTAAGATCACAGGCTAAGATATGAAAGATCATAAATTCATAAATATTAAGAAAAGGTAATTTTTAATGGTTTAATGGTAACATAATATATCAAATCGCATGATAGAAAAAACATTTTGAGTAGCTATATAGTATACACTGAGCGGTATTCACCTGCATATAATATTAATTAATAAAATAGACCACTATAGTCTATAAAATAATTAATATACAATTATGAGAGTATATTGCTTTAAAAAAAAAACAATAGATTTATCTCAGGGATAGATGAAAGCTTTATATTTTTTTTAAATGAAAAGTATTAAAGGAGATAGCTCTACCGTCGATAATAACCGTAATCAGAGTAAAAATCAAAACCAGTATGGGCAGATGGTTTAGCACGGTGATATTAAATTGAGTCCATGCTACTTTTATGTGTTTGAATTAAGTCCAGCTTGTTATCATAATATCTTTGAAATGAATCCATGCAAATAAAATGTTATAACTATCTAGATAGCTGGTGACGACTTTGAACCTTGCACATCATATGATACCGGATACGCAACGATAATGGAGTCAGTGGTATATACTCATTATACTCGTTCAAAATCAACTAGTCATACCGAACACTTCTTAAACACACAATTAGTTAATAATTAATTATTAAATTATTACAAGTGAATAATGAACCGTAAAATCACACATAAAATAATTATTTTTCCTCAAACAATTTTTAATATTTTATTATATTTCCAAAAATAATAAAATAAGTATGTACTTGAAATTTCCAAATTATTACTTTCAATACCTATATTATGATAACATTTTCAACAAATTTTAACTCTTTTTAAAATATTAATAGGTATGACAAATTTTCAATTTTTTTCAGTATTTTTTTATAGCTGTCGATAAATAATTATTCTCTTGGTAAAAATATCTTTTATTCATTAATATTTTTAATATTTTTTAATTAATTAACTATTTATACCTACTTATTATTAAAATTAGAGAAAGAGACTCAACTTGAATAATCTAACATTTAACAATATTCAATATTGGTCGGACTCAACCCCGATAACCCAAAAGTATTTGCGGTACTCAATTCAATAATCGGGACTCAATTCAATATTCGGGACTCAATTCAATAATCGGGACTCGATTCAATATTCGGGACTCAATTCAATATTCGGGACTCAATTAAATAATCGGGACTCAATTCAATATTTGGGACTCAATTCAACGTTATCCGTTTAGCAATTATAATTGTTACTGACATTATAGTACTTATAATCAACAACAACAAACAATAATTCAAATTGAAAGCCATATCAAAATCTCAATTAAAATACATTATTAGCACATTGCTGTAAAATTATCAAATGAACGTAGAAAAAAATAAAATTCGAAGCACTCGTTCCTTGATATAATTATACATCAAGACTCCCCACAATTTACATCAGTACATCACTATTCGTTTTCAATGTTAATTGTCCACTGTTATAGAATATGAATAAGCGACGTGCTATAATAATATATTTAACTATTCAAATATAAGTGTGATGCAAATTTAAAAATAATAACAATACAGATAACTATCAGTTGATAATTTTACATTACGATTGTTTGTTTCTTATAGCCTTTTAAGCACTAACAAAAGCCACAAGTTGACAAGTGTCAAGTGCACAACTTCGATTGATTTTGATCAAACGAGGGCTGCTGCTGCGACAGTGGAACCGTTGGTCACACTGCGACTGGTCCAGTGGTGCGCGGCCACAGGCCGGGGACACATCCGACGGCGCGAGGTTCGGTTGGTACGAGCGCCAAATGGTTCTCCCCACGTCTATCCTGCCGACCGTATCGTGAAATCGTGGTTCCGTTTACATCGGTTTACTAAGTACGGAGTACGACTGACGGGGAAAAAAAGATATAAGCGATTAGTAATATGTTATTCGGTTTTGCGACTTCACTATCTTGTTCGGGCGCCGTCCTCCGGTGATCCGCGTATCTGTGTCCACGACGTCGGACCGATGTCCCGTCTTTCGGTCTGAACCCGACACCTCGCCGTGCCCGTCGCCCGCGCCGGATATCCAAGCTTGCAGGTGCCCCTGTGGCCGCTACTGCAGCTGTCCGCCGGTTCGTCCGTCGTCCACACGACGGGCCCGGTCCACAGTCATCCCCGTATACGCCCGGGCGGCCACCGCCACCGGATATCCACGCTCGTGCAAATGGCCGACTTTGGACGTGGGCCAGTTATGTAAGGGGCCCCGCCGCACGACAGTGACGACACACCGCCACCGCCGCCGCCGCCACCACTACCACCACCTCCACCACCTTCCCGCCCGCGCACGTCTCTGTGAGTGGCACTGCATTACTAGTCGTCGTCACTCGGCGGCAGTGACTTTGGACACATAATCAGACTTCGCCCGGGACGGATAGCGGCTGCGTCGCGCAAAGGTAACGTATTTTGCAATTGTTTAGAAGTTACTTATATTTTTTTTCGATCTTTTTCGCGTTTCCTCTTGGGTGTAGGTATCCAAGTAATTTCCGCGAACTCCGCACTCGCGCCACGACCCAAAAATAATGGGTCCCGAGCGATAGGTACGATCGACGCAAGGGACCAGACGTGGCGCTTGGAAGTTTTTTACACTCCTGTCCGTGCGCGTGAAGGTGACCTAAATACACCATCAGTGTTACGGATGTGGCGCGCGCGTAGAATGTAGAACGATGTCGTTGGCGACCGCCTAGGATTGTGATGTAGCAGTCGTTTGGCGAAACGAGATGGATGGAGGGCGGAGGAGTGTTGGGCGGCAGTGGCAGTGCGGTAGGGAATCGTTCGTCCAAGGGGCCACGACCGGAGGCGGCAACTGGATTTCGGTTCTCGTTCTTTACATTATGTAGTGCTGTCGCTGCCTGACCGCCTGCCCGCCCGCTCGCCCTCTCGCTCTGACGACCTGCTGCGGCTAATTCGTTATGCGCGTGAAAATACTAACGCAATTCACCTGCCGCCGCTAACGGTGCGCGGTTGACGATACGCTTCAGGATTTTTACATATATATATTTTTTTACTCTGAGCGGGAGTGGTGCCGTGTGTGCGTGTGTGCGGAACGAACAATCGGCCGGCTGCACCTCCTTCTGGTCCGGACACGGTGGAATTGTTCTAGGAAAACGAGTGTGTGGGCCGTCTGCGACGACTTCGA